TTCTACGAAATTTTACCGTCTTGTATAATGTCAAAATAATATTGTACGAAATTAAACAAATTAGGCAAAAAGATATTATTCGAACAGATGACTATCAAAAAATGCTGGGTATCAATGAAAACGTGACTTTACTGCGGATATATCAATATCAAAAACGAAGCTTTTGTATCCCAATTGGGGAAAATTATTAAAAAATTTTTATTATATCACATCGCGCGCAAACAGCATCTTCTCATCGAAAAAAAAATGACAGCTCGTGAAGAATTTTTCGCATGGCTCGCAAGCAAAGCTATTCCCAGGAAGCAAAGAACTAAACTCGCTTCGTATGAATGGGAAAGTTTAGTCGAAACAGATGTCGAAGGGATTGCATCAGTCATTGAGGACCGACTGATGGCTGGAGTTGTTCATGGGAAACTTCAGGCTTTAGGCGCTCAATATCAAACAGTTCAGTGGCATACAAGGCCAAAAGATCTATTTCAAATACCTCCATGTCTTGGAGTTTCATCCACTAGTTTTTGTTGTCGAGATGCTTGAACATTTGCAGGGCCTGCCACAAAGTCAAATTCACTAAACAATACCCCAAAGATATCCACCAAGCATGTGCAGATGCTAATATTGCTCCCCACTCTATGGTTTTGAAACTCTACAAGGCGGATGGTTCATGGTGGTCATGGCTCATATGACTGGGTTTTATGCTCTGTCAGATAGTAATAGCTCTATTACTGCATGTATTAGTGAGGAACTGTGGAATGTGTTGAGGAAGTTACAGAACTTTGGGTATGTGCATGGTGATCTACGAAAAGAGAACATTTTGGTCTGCAAAAAGGATGCAAAGACAAACATTGTTTTTACTGATTGGGATTGGGCTGGTGTAGCTGGGGAAGTTTGTTATCCTATATCAATCAACCCTGCAATCTATCAGCATCCTACTGCAAAAGCTCTACAACCCATCCTTATGGAGCATGATGAATTTATGCTCAAAAATATTTGTCTTACTCATAATGTTGTGGATGAAAGCTTAGACCAGTAATAGTAACAATCTTTATTTTGCATTCTAATTTCGATTATATATTTCGTCATCTTGACAGAATTATCCAGTTTAACAGCAGCTGGCAAACACATAATCAATAAAATAGTATAATATTAGATTTACCTTTGTATTATTCATACTCTAGTGGTATTTCGAATTAATGAAGTCTTCTATTATTTGGGGTGTTATGAAATGTGCTATTTTTACTAGTAATAGGCTTATATGCAAAGCATGATGAGTGTGACTAAAAACACTGAATAAAATTTAAGCAGAAATTATCAAATGTCTAGTTTGTCTTTATTCCGTAACTTTGATGGTGAATATCGTGACTAGCAGTGATGATTGCAGCGATGAAGAAATGGCAATGCACATCCGCAATGATCGTATAATTTAGAGTAAGAACATTGGACTCATTACAGCCCAGCCCCCAGTGCCACTAATCATTCGCTGCCTAATCGATTTCCCTCCCTCCCCTCACTCTTGCGTTTCGTACCAGTTTTCAGAGTTGCAAAACTAAAAAACACCATTCCTTCTCTCGTCGACATGCCCGTCAATCTGAAAGTACCCACAATATCCATTACGAATCCTGATTGTGTAACGCTTCAAACGCATGCGGGACGTAGAGACGATGATGTATAGAGTGAATGTGACGATACAAGGCCGTAAGAATCTATGGAAGAAGTATTGCCAGGTGTCTACAAACAACCTATTTAAATGAGTAGAGCATTGAACCTTTATTGACAACTACAAAAGACTGATAAAAATATAAATATTTTGTAAAAGGTTTGAGGGTATGAATTAACGGGAAAGCTTGTTAATTTGGTTACACCAGCGACGATCATAAACGTAAAGCCTCAGTGGAATATCTAATGATTCATGATGGGTATTCGAACAAGAAGTTTATTGCATACTTTTCGCCCTATTGTTTGCGAGTTAAGGCTGGCCCTTTCTTTTATTCATTTATTTTACTTTATTGATCTGATTTTATTTTATGATTGACATATTAATATGCCATTGCAAAGCATATAGTGAATAAAGCAATGAGTAAAACTTTTTTAAAGTAAAAACCTGTTAAACAGGGAAAAAATGAAGATATTTACAATTACAATATACAAGCGGTGAGACCACCTAGAATAGTCCATCTGCAAAAACTATTGACTATTTATCACCAGACACGTTCTAATGTTCTGATAGAATACACTCATCGAACGGATAATTAAACGTCAGCCAACGACATCACATATTACATCCCAAAAGATTATGTACGTGTTCGGTCATCCGAACGCTCAGATCGCTCGAGTTTCTCATAAAGCGTGATGAGTTTCGTAGGTGCAATTTGAGCAGGCCAGAAATAAGTGACAAATGTCCACAAGTATCTACGCCAACGAGTTTTCTCTGCGTCCGAACGCTTCTCACTAAGAATCTCCCCAATACGGGCACCTATAGTTCGAACGCACTCTTTAAGCAATCGCGCCTTTTCTTTTCCCGTATAGCGGGCCGAATCCTAATAATAAATAGGATATTGAGCCACTGTTGTATAAATATCGTCTTGGAATGATAACACGACAGCAACAAGTATACATACCTTCTTCAACTTTTGTAGATACTTTCTAACCGGTCTTAAAAGTTCTTTACAAGTCTTTTCGAGTTCCTCATCCAGCTCTTCAAATTCATCGTCAGAAGATTCTACTACCTCAACAGGTGCTTTAGGTTTCTTTCGAGACGATGGCGAACCTTCATCTGGAGTATTCGATTTTCGCTTAGATGCTTTTGCCGTTACGACGTCCGGAGGAGTGGCTGATGTTTCCTGTGAAGTTATACGTATCTTTAGCCTTCGGCCCTATAAAATAGGAAAAGAATACATTAGATTGACACATTCATCGGGACATTGTTTACGCGAATCTTGAAAACACAAATAATACGCACTTTTTTCGGTGCATGTTCTTCTGATGGTGCTTCACGTAAAACTTTCATTAGATACTCTGCCCTTCTTACAACTTTTGCTGTCTGTTTAGCAGATGTGTTTTCTTCTTCGGTCTCTTCCTCGCTAAGTTTCTTCGCAAGACCAAGAGAGGCGTCTTCCCGTACAGCTCGCCAACTGCCAAACCCATGTTTATATATACCAGCCATTAGCATTGCGTCTTCTTTCTGGCCCCAGTCACAATGCCAATTATTGACAGGCTTTAATGGAACGTTGAAACGGAATTTCTCGAGATTGGGCACTTCTGCAGAACAAAGAAATAACGTTATATGGAAATTTTGATTAAAGAAAGACACATTATATGTACATTGACCGATAGGAAAAACTACTTACTACTAAGCTTCTCATAAAGAACATTAAGATCGCCAACACGCTGTATTAACAATCCGGCATTTATCTTTTCAACATTGTTGTATGAAGTGTGGATAGCTTTTGCTCGAGCATTAGTTCCGGCAGAGTTGCCATTAACGGAATCATGTTCACGGATGGCCTTTTCAGCTGCAGCGTATATCTCGTCGTATACCTGTAACACTAATTCTCGTACTTTGTCTTGCAAATCTGCGTCTCGAACTACATCGTCATATCGCTGGTGAGGATTACCAAATTTCATAATACCGCGTATTAAGGCACGGATCTCCTTTTGCGTTAATTCGGGTGAAGATGATTTCTTTCTTCCAGAACTGGACACCTACGAGATAAAATGCAAAACCAGTTAACATTTACAAGACATAATAATCCTTTTGCATCTCGACAGTTCGAAACTGCTTTATACCTTTTGTTTCTTGGCACTCTTTCGGCCGTGTGTCTTTTCCTTGGCTGCACGCTTTAACCCACCCTTACTTTCATATTCCTCGTTCTCTATGACCGGTTGAGTCAAACTCGGACCGACCGCCCCGGGTGATTCTCCATTAGCCATCTTTTTCCTTTCCTCTTCTGGAATTATCTCCTCCCATGATATATCCGAGCCACCATAATCTGCCACTTGAAACTGTTTCAGAAACTCTTCTCCGCCAAAACTTGAACTGACTCCATCTCCCACCGTATCATGTGTCTCTGCACGAGCGAGAATGTCATCGAGGTCCATGTCATCTAATTTCTTTTGGCCTTCGGTCTCTTTGAACATATTTTGAGCTCCGAATTTGAGGATGGCGCTCAAATCTTCTCGACTAAAGTTATCGGGCCTTGACGAAGTAGCTTTATCTTTCTTTTGTAAAAGAGATTGGCCTGAAGTGTCCATTTGCTTGATGATACAGTATTCGAGAACCATCTTGCGCTTTGCACGTTCGAGGATACTCTCTTCGATTGTATCTTTTGTAAGAAAGCGATATACGTTTACGTGATTTTTTTGACCGATACGATGTGCTCGGGCCATTGCCTGCAGATCGTTCTGCGGATTCTATATGCATAAAAACATGTCAAATGTCAATTATTCGAACAAAAGTTTAGCAATAAAAAATTTTTTTTTCATATATATCTCGTATACCAACCCAGTCAGAATCAAATATAATCACAGTGTCCGCCGTATTCAAATTAATACCAAGACCTCCTGCCCTTGTTGACAATAAGAATATAAAGTCAGGAGATCCTGGAGCATTGAAATGCTCGATAGCCTTCTTACGTGCTTCCGACCCGATTCCCCCATCAAGACGTTGATGAGGGTATCCACGAAGACGAAGATAGTCTGTTAAAATGTCCAACATTCGAACCATTTGAGAAAATATGAGTACTCTATGATTAGATTCCCGAAGTCTCTTTAGTAGTTTATCTAACAAGACCATCTTTCCACTGTTCATGATTAGGCCACGCAGTTGTTCTTCACGACTATTTGTCCAACTCTCGGCATTGGGGAACAAGTAAGGATGGTTACTGGCTTTTTTTAGTTCCACTGCAATATTGAGCAGACTCATCTGAGACGAGCCTCTGACACCGTCATTTAGAACATTGAAATTCTTTGTGAGAATGTGCTTGTAATAGTGCATCTGCAGTGGTGCCAACTCGACTCGAAGTATGCGCTCCGTTTTCTGGGGAAGAGATTTCTCAACGTCCTTTTTCAACCGTCGCAACATGTAAGGCTCAAGACTCTTGTGCAACTCTCGGATCTTGGCTTCCTGTTCCTCATCGGGAACTCCGAGATCAATGTCAGACGGTAACTGGAAATCGGGCATTAAAAAGTTTACTAGCGCACAAAGTTCTTTCACGGAATTTTGTAAAGGTGTTCCTGTTATCAATAGCCGGTTTACTGTATGAAACTCTGACAATACTTCATGTAGCTGTGATTCACTGTTCTTTAGTCTGTGCGCTTCATCGACGGCAAGATATTGCCACTTTATCGATCCAAGCTCTTGCCGGTCTTTTAGAATAAATTCGTAGGTGGTTATTAGAACGTTAAACTTTGGACGTTTCGGCGAAGATTGGATATAAAACTCGTGTTCCCGAATGACCTCGCGACTACCCGATGAACCAATGTACACTATAACATTCAAATCTGGAGCCCACGTTTGAAATTCTTGCTGCCATGAGGCTATTGTGGATAGCGGAACGACAACAAGAAACGGACCGTATTGGTGATGTGTGTGGAGGAGGTAGGAGAGAAAGGAAATTGTTTGTATGGTCTTACCAAGACCCATCTGTTTAATAAAGGATTGAGGAGAGAATTCGAATAAATATAACAATTATGTGTGCTTTATGGACAATTCAATGATGGACAGAAACAAAAACAAACCTCGTCCGCCAGTATTCCATTTTCGTTCTTTGACCAAAGATGAGCCAACCAATTCAAACCAGTCAATTGGAAATCTCTCAACTCTCCGCCAACGATATATAGGGGTTGTTCTGTTATTCGTTTGAATGAGGGTCTCTTCTGGGTATAAGGTTTACTCCTATGTGGCAGACGCTGACTATTATTCCTATCCAAGAATGCATCGATTTCAGCTTGAAAGTCTCTCTGAATTAGTTCGGCATTCTCCCACGTGCAGTCACTGTACGGTAACCGCTTCCATTTACATAGATACTCGTAATT